CGCAAAACGTGTCTTTCCTTTTAAAGATTTGCCGACGAAAGTTAAGAAAAGTCGGAGTGTTGGTAAGAAAATGCTTACTTCTTTCTTCGGCAAATTAGTACATTACACTACTATAGCGCTTGAAGACCAAAGAACAGTACCTAACTGCAGATTGATATGTAAACACCTGCTTGCCCAGTGTGTTAGAAAAAATTCGCAAAAACCGTCCTCGAAACAATATCGTCCTTCACCACGATAACGCGTCTGCACATTCCGCTAAGGTAACGAATGCGTATTTGAAGGCTTCAAATGTGTAGCTGATGACCCATCCGCCATACCTCTTGCACCATGCCACTTCTTTTTATTTCCAAAAATCAAAGATAAACTTAGAGGTTTCCAATTGACAGGTCCGGAAGCGGCGGTGAATGCATTCCACGATGCCATTGAAGAGCTCCCTACGGAAGACTGATCCTACTGCTTTTCAGTATGGTTCCAACGAATGCAAAAGTGTGTGAATAGCGAGGGCTTTACTACTTTGGATATACTTTGAAAAACAATAAGTCTAATAAACATAATATCTGGTCTTACTTATCAGAATCCAGAAACTTTCAGTATGGCCTAGGTATAGATAGACGTTAACTAATATCTGTATCAAAACCACGGTTTCTTCTAAAGAATAATTAATAGGTTGTTATAACCCGAAAAGCTACGATTGTAAATTGCCTGTATGGCCGTACGGTTCGATTCCCGGGCGAGAGAGAGGCAACGAGGGTTGCGTCCTAGGTTATAGCTCGTTGGCCATTGGCGTTCGGTGGACCATCTAGTGATATGTGAGTAACCAAGGTCTTTTGTTATTGCACGGGATTGACCCTGTGGTCAGAGTAAGAGCTTGACTTCACGTTGTACAATACCAACTGCTAGGGTCAATGAGTTGGGATATATTAATTTGCAACTAGTTAGATGAGACAGTAATTTTCATTACTTGATGTTGTTTTGTCTTCTTTGGCAGGGTCAATGAGTATTACTTTTTAAGGCTTTTGCTCCAGCAAAGCGGTCGGCTTCTAGTCAACGAAGGTCGTATATGGGTACAATTTAATTTTGTACATAATATCTTCATAGAAAGTTATTAATTTGATGTACAATATATGTAAGCTGGTCGGACAATAGATACCTTTTCGCAACTGGCCAAGCCCGAGCTACGGCGGGTCCGGAAGGTTGATGCTAACACGGAGCGATAACAAGCTGAGGGCCTCTGCCCCCTGCGACCACCCCCTGCCGCTACGCTACAGCTGATCCCAATCTGAGGCTTTGTGCCTTTCACCGGTAGCACTAATCGCTCTCCCGTTCAACGACGCCTTTGAAGACTCTAAATTATTCACTTGTCTCTCTCCGCAGTGCCGAAGCTAATTAAAAGTTTGTATCGCGGTCACTAAGTTGTTATCCAAGTTGCCTGTAAATTGGAACGAAACAAGCCGCGAGTTGAGATCGAGTGCGAATGAAACAAGCATTAACAAAGAAACTGATTGAGCATCGAAAGGTATCAAAGGCTTACAAGAGGCGCGCGCAAAGGGCCGCGTTAAATTTAATGTATGAATAATTGAAAACAAAGGTAGGCAAGAGGCACAAGTAGGGTCGTTATCGTCGCCCTCCCGGGAAATGAGCCGCCGCAGATTTTTGCCGACCGGAAAAATTTTCCGTTCGCCCGCCGACCGCCTCCCAGAAATAAATTATTTTATCGAGTTACAGTTATTCTTTTTGCGCTAAAAATGCGTAAGAAGTTAACTCGCAGAAAATTAACACTTTCTGAGAAAATTGGGATCAAGGAAGTTATTGGTAATTTCAAACTGAATAACGAAAGCGAGTTTATTTTGGTATCCTATACAATGGAGATCATATTTTATCTTCCTTTATGTTGTGTCGCTTTGCTACGAGAGCTCAGAAGCGTATCTAAACAGATACCAACCAATACAGAGGCACCGCTGTACTTGTGGCATAAAAAAGGCGTACTGTAAGAATACTTGAGCGGCAGCGGTGTCGTGGTGTCGCGGTGTCGTAAGTGCGCGCTAAGCAGTCCAATTATACAAAGAGTAACAAATGCAGCGTTAGTCACGTCAGCAGATTAGAGTGGTACGGTCGTCAGCGGCGGCGGCACACAATCCACCGCTGGGTGCGAGTGCTCGCGCTCATTTGCATTTCCAGTGCGATCCCTAAGCTCCGCTATGAATTTGTCTGCTACTGTACGGTTACGTACACTCGTGTACTTACTTGCCAGAAACGTATTTTGACTGTACAAGTTGAATGGTGCAAGTTTGCGGTGAAGATGTTGTGAAGTCAGCTTTGAATGAAATTAATTGTGGGTGCTAGTGTTTGTGTAGTTAAACGGTGAAGCACAAAGTATAAAGTTAAATGTGGGAAATAATTCCTTTTTTTAGTACTCAGATAATAGAATTAGAATATAATTAGAGTTTCATTGTGTTGGTCACACACACATAAACGTCAAAAGCAAACGATCTCTTCCTTTGTCTCGTCAGGACTGAAACGGTGGCCAGTAATTACATAAAGATGTTTACATTTAAAGAGTTTTTCTCAAGCTCGAGTCTAATACGATTACAGATTGTTGACGAAGGGCCGCATTAAGTGCGCTCGTTAATCAACGTCGTGTCGCGTCGTGGACTCAAGCCTCTATCGGAGTAGACTTGCACGCGCAGCAAGTCACCAGTACATTTTAACAAAAAGTTGACATGTAACGTGTAACCAATAAAATTGTCTACCGGTAAAGGTTTACCGCTGTTACGAAACAGTTGTTAATTGAAATGGATCATTTGTTGCGGTAGATGTACGAAACTGTGGACAGAGAAATAGGGAACAAAGCACAGCTCGATCCAGCGCACGACGCCGCGCTGCGATCCCGTATAGCGTTAAAATCAGCCCTGCTACCATTGTTCCCAGAGACGAGCGAAATTAACGCAAAATGTTTTATTGTTTTCATTTTTAACTCTCTAGCTGAAAGCGAAGTTTAAAAAGCAGATAATAACCTTTACGCAAAACACAACATTGCGGTGCAGAGCTGTAAAATGTGTTCCTTTATTGCTCTCTCTTTTAATTACATTCTTCGCACTCGTTCGCCGCTTGCCTTCGTTTTGCGTCGTTCTTTCATAAAACGGTCGCGCTCTGTTTTGTTTTGTTGTTCGTGAGTGGTTTTATTAAAAAATAAATGCAATTTCCCCAATCGGAGCACATGAGGCCGACAAAAACGGCTGCCGCAAAATACTTGGATAGAAAGCGCTTCAATTAATTGGTTCATTAGTATTCTCTATTAAATTAACCCTCGTTTTCTACAACTTTAGCAAAACTGGCGCGTTCCAAATTGTTCTTTTCCAAGTAAGTAGGTAGTTAAATCATAAGTATCTAAATAAAACTAAGCACTGGATCTCTGTAAATCTTTTTCCAATGCAATAGCGTTCCGTAAAGGCCCGCAAAGGTCCCTTCATTAGTAATAAATAAGCGAAAGACTTGACTCTTCAAGCTCGCCTATCCATTGTTGAGAAATACAAATATTGACATAATTAATAAAAGCGGAGCACGTCCGTGCACTACCTGCGCTGACTTCTTACAACTGAAGGAGATAAGTATTAGTACTCATGTTTCTTCCGCCGACTCTGCTGCACTCGCGCGGCATCATGCTCCAAGAAACGGTAATAAATACTTACGTCTGCGCAACGATCAAGTACCACATTGTAATAAATAAGAACTTCTTTGGATATTTCTTTTATTTTAAACATTTCCATTAAAACAATCAGTTTGTGAGAAAATTCTTTATTTTTTACTTTTCTTTGATTATTCCTGTCCGATCACTCGACCGGAGAGGAATAATCAAAGTAGGTTTATTTTTATGTGATAAGATTTACAATTTAAAAAGGAGAATCGGCTTGTTACGGCGAAAAGTGCGTTGGTGTGCCCACGAGACGCCCTGCAAGACACTCCATCACCGACGGTGACGTGTCGACATTCGACACGCCAATACCGTCAATGACACGCATTCTCAGCACATACATTTACTACGCTTTTTATAATTTTCATTTTATTTCACTTCAGGGTATTTACAATTGCCTATAACATTGGACAAATTACATTACGTGTTATACAGTTTATGTTAAAAGTAGAAACGATATCCTGCATATCTAATGCACGACACTTTTGTAGGAGTCTGACCTATCCGTGTTTTTTTCAACTGAAAGCACAAGTCCCATTCTAGGTCACTCATCTGTTAATAGCTGTTTAATGGCTTCTCCAATACAACGCGACGCGGCCGTTCGAAACATTATCTAGGCAACATTAGCAAGCAGCGCAGCGTTTCCTAACGCCGCTGCACCCTCCCCGTGTTCTCGGTTTTTGTGTAACGACTTTCGATTTGCCGAGCACGTGGAGTGCTCTCGAGCAGGCTCCGGGGGCGATATCACTCCACGTCGCCCCAAGAGTGTTCATCTACCAAATAACGCGTAACTTACCCCTGCCGACAATTCACGGCCCTCCGCTTCGCTAACTCAAAAACGGTACACGTCACTTTTTTCTAAAAATTTCAATTTCACACTGTATTGCCTCCCCTTTCCGGAGCTATAAATTTCAACTACTTTGACCCAAGAACAGATAATATTTCAGTTCGTACATTTTTCTTATCTACGAATACACATTCTCTTGATCGGATACCTTTAAATTGCACCTTATCCTACTTTACGAGATCCGGAAATTATTTCCGATATGAAGTTTCCATAAATCGGAGGCTTACCTAAAGCAATATTAACTTTTTACGAGCACCAGCGCCGCCCATATCGTAATATCAGCGTCACTTATATCTCTCCGCTTTATAAAGTATCAGATCACCGTGAGCGGAAATTCCTTCTTTTCTGTCACCAGAATCGAAAGTTTTGTTCGCTCGCAAACTTCGCAGTATCATTTTAATATCAAATTGATATTTATAAATTCCAAGTTCTGTGACGAATAGAAAAAGAGATAACGAGGCCGCCGCCTCTTTCTGTGATCACTGCCACGAATTATGTGCTTCGAGTGCTGAATACTAAATGAAGTCGGAAAAGTAGCGCGAGCCTACGTGAACTTGGCCGAAATTACGGTTATCGAGGCAATCGGCCCCGTCTGCGCCGCTGCGACGACAACGTCGCGTCGCGCCGACGACGAGGCGAAAGGCCGTGGGCGTACGGCGAGTTTCTCTCGCGACGAATTTTATTAAGGCGAACGAAGTAAGTCATTCAGCTTTCAATAAAGCGGAGGATGCGATCTGTAAATGGCTTACAGAAAATTTGCGCTTCCCTCGAACGCTAATGAATTTTCCTGTATTGTATTGACTGTATAGTATTGACGTGTTCTCGAGAGGTGTTAATTATAAATACATTATTATTTATAACAAATTCTTTTTCAGTTTATAAAATATGTTACCCGTTATTGCGTTCACTTGTTAGCATACAGTAATAAAAATGTAGCAAAAGCCAACCGTCCTTTCCGCTTTCGTGAGGCCTAAAAACTAAGAACGTGTGGATTTCCACGGCTCCAATCGCAACTACAGTGAAAGTTCCCGAGCGAATATCCGCCATTCTCGACAAACTTTTCTGCTTTTAGCAAAAGTGGGCTCGCATGTGATACAACCCTGAATTCCTAAATCCTTTTAGCCGGCCTCCTTCCGCCCTCGCGGGACTCCGTTTCAAATCAGTTTTGATAAACATCTTGCGCCCACCTCACCTAACTCTATTCAAGAATTCCGCCTAGTTTCGGTTTGCTTGAGGAAACTCTCTGTTTATCAGTCTGTACTGGATTTGATCTTGTGTATATTTAATGTCGTCACGCGGTATTGAGGGCGTGTAACAATTTTTTTGCTTCGTTACTAGATAATTTAGTTTAATCATACAACGCACTACTACTTCCACCTTACAAATATGCATTTTTTGTTTAATGTGTTGCAGCGACTGACGGAGCTCCCGAGGCAATCGAGTGGAGGACATATGCCTATGCGCGGTATGAGCGACCACGGCGGTGGCGACGAGGACAATGGTGGAACGACCGCTTTGATGAACCGTTTCCATCTAGTGTAATTTTTTTCTTAATCCATATTTGACTACTATTCATTGCTCTTTTAACGTTCTCGCCACAGAGCACACAGAAATTTCTCGCGTATCGAGTAGACATTTGATACACCTACTTTTTTATATCGAGTCCAAGATTTGATAACGAAACAATTAAAGAAACGAAAAGAGTAGAGTCGTGAGTAATCCACGGGTGACACGTGCTAACTCTTGACCGGAATTGCCCGCGCCCCGCCCGCGCCCCGCCCGCGCCCCGCCCGCGCCCCGCCCGCGCCCCGCCCGCGCCCCGCTCGCGTGCCCACAGGCGCCGTCGCCAGGAAGATAGCCACAGACTTATTGCAATATTAAATTGAGTTAACGGCGCCTTACACGCCTCTCGCTCCGCGCACACGCATCGCGGAACAATCCTGCCGGATACAATGATTACCCCTCCCCTCTAGTCGGTCGTGCGTTCCATTGTCCTTTTGATGACAGATTAATCGCGTTAGGTCTCGTCATCTCGATAGGCACAGTTTATCGGACTAGCGTATGGACTAACGCAAATATCATTTGACACTTGACGTCAAACTTTATAAAAGGGCTGTGTGATTTGAAAACTGAAAGGAAACATCAGCATCTCGCCTGCAGCAGTCGCCTGACGGACTGCCTTATTGCACACGTATTTTTGAAAATCTCGTAGAGGACTGCGATCCATTTACAACATCACAACTGTACACAACTTATGCAATAAAAAGACACTAGGAACGATAATAAAATACGAAACAGTTATAAATTTATTATTAAATATTAATATTATGTAATGATTACAAAAATAAACAGAAATTACGAACGCTGAAGACAAATTTTAAAATAATGTGAATATAATACTATGTCAAAACCGGAACAAACAGTAGTTGTGGTGTAGTAAATAGTCGAAGGCGACGCATTGTTCGTGTAGAGAGACCGATATGCAGCGCATTTTACACAGTTTAGTAGTACACATAAATTGATTATTCATTTCTTTATTGTTTATTTTAATTATTATTTTAGTTATTTTTTTTTATCGTTTTGTGACCTCTTTCGATCTGAGGAAGTAATTATCGTGCTTGGAGGTATACAGTCGCCTGCTCTGCTCTGAGACGTTGCAACAGTGACATACACGTAATTTTAGAAATTGAATTGTTTCCACTTTCAAAGGCATTGCACTGTGCAACTACGTGTTCATGATGTTTTTGGAATTTAATGAAAGCATTAACATTCATGAATATCGAATTCGTTTTTGCAAGAAAGTGCAAACAATGGATCCGCTGCTGCCGTAGGGGCGTCGCGTGAGTGTCGTGTTGGCCTCGTGTCTATTACTCTACGTCAGGCAGTGTCAGTATCATCAGCGTTTGACGCGGACGAGGCGCGGGCGCCGCGGTCTGCAATATTACCGTGACTATTTTCATCGCATCTGACCATTAATTCCTTCCGCGTCCATTAGGTCGGCGATGCAATATTTTTTCGGGCGTTTATTTCACTTTACTGATTCCACACTTCACTGTCGGGGGAAAACGTGTCACTTCGATCTGACAGTGAAAAACAGCCCTCGTGTCATTTGTCAACGTCAGCCACTCAGCGCGGGAGCAAAACATAATTTCATAAAGACATCGTTGTTCTTGTTATGCGCCGGCACCAACGCCGAGCCGGTTTTTACAGCGTGATCTGCTGCTGCTCCTGCCATCATCACTTTCTTATCTGCTTAACGCCACCTCCGCGACATAGCATGTCATCATTATGCCGCGCCATCTCATGTCATCTTGCATGGTCCTGCAAGATGACATGAGATGGCATTTGTTTGTTTTCAGTTTCAGTTTTGAGTGCATTTCTTTTGCTTTCATTTGTATCAAATTCTTGCGCAAATACTCTTAAATGAAAGACAGAAAAACTTAAACGCTTCCGGCGGGTCACTAGCAACGTCGATTTCAAGTTTTTGTGTGTATCTATACTAGTGAAGTGCCAATTTATTAAAACTATTTAGCGGCCGAAACACTGCCGGCATTGCCGAGAACATTACGCGGTTGCGTCCATTTGAAACATGCGATTGTTGTGAACTACAAAAATACAGAAGACAAAGCGAGTTCTCTGATGCCGTGCGTAATATATAGTTGACCGTACTAATAACGAATGTTACTGAGTGATAGTCCGATATCGGATAGCGGGCCGGCGGCGGCGCCGCGTGTCGGGCTCGGCCGCTCGCTACCCTGCAATCGGACCGATCATCAAATCTCATGTCAAACGTCAGCTTCCCTTTGAACAAGCGTTACAAGGGACGAAACAATAAAATATTTATCCCGAAATAGTTGAGAAAGTAAGGAATCTTGTTCGATATAGTTGGTTTTGGAAGTAACACAAAGGAGACTGATAAATAATTCAAATGCTGCAATGCGGCCCCGAGGAATCGACGAGGAATGTTCTCGTGTGTATAAGGTGTAGGTACTCCTGGGAAGTAGAGCGATCGTAGCGGTACGCTCGAGTCCGCTGCGCCGGTGATGAGTTGCGCTCACGCCGCACCACATAAAAGATATCAAACTGCCATGTTAACATCCGACAAATCTATCGAGCTGACTGAAAAAACATTACTTAATATGCAAAATCTGTGAGCGTTTGTAAAAAGTGTTCGAAAGTTTAAGTAGCTGATAAAATTGTGATACGTCACTTCACCTGATGAAAGCGAAGCCTGTTACCGCGTTTTCACACTGTCATCGTCATGGTGTCGCATCGCGAGGAACGGGCGGCGCGGGCGGCGTGGGCGGCGCGGGCGGCGACGGTGGTAAGAAACTTGTTTAAATTTCACTTTCGTTCGACGGATGTGAGGCCACAAAAAGTTGGGTAATTAGTTTTTCGTCAACGCAAAGTTATACTTGAATTCACGCATGAGTGGAATACAATGTGAATAATTTCTCGGCATCCTTGAGGATATAATAAACCAGTTTTGATTTTGTTTTCATCGCAAACTTTGTTCTAAATTTAATGTACTGTTAAAGTAACTTTGATAACGAAGTGGCTGACGGTGGGGATTCTGCTACATCGCGCTGCGCTGTTCAGATTTGCTCCACACGAACGAATATAACTGGCGCCGGCATCAATTCCATTAATTATGAATTTCAATTTGACCGTTGTCCTGTTTGCATCCATTTCCGCTGTACGAGAATTTAATGTAGGCAATGTAACAGGAGTATTATAACTGTCAAATGTGTAGGTGTACCTTTGTCAATCTGGTGACAGATGCAGACGGGCGCGGGCGCGGGCGCGGGCGGGCGACGAGCGGGAACGGAAGGAGGGGAAGGAAGATGAAGTGCGGTACTCCTCCGTCTTCAGATGTTGAATAGGGCCAAGATTAAACATGGCCTTGTACGTTAATCATAGTGCTCCGCGTTCCGACATATTGAAGGAGCCGTACCTATTGAGTAATAGTATATTGCCAATGGACACATCAGTAGCGCATTGCTTTCCAATGATTGACCGAATTCAATTGTAAATAGAATTTTCTTTACGTACCTACTAGAAAAGTCACAATGTTACAATTCATGACTTACCACAATCCGAATACCTTGTACCGTTTACAAAATTACACTAGGCAGGCTTTTCTTGAAGTGTACGCTACGCTTTTATATTCCGATCGTCTTACGCGAAATCCTGTCGAGCGTTTACACGAACATTCATTTTGTTTTAAAGCTGCTACAGGAAACATTGTCGCATACGGCGCGCGGCTTCTTCTACGGTACTAGCCAGTTTCTATTCACGGTATGAGATTATCACAAATGTATTTGGAAATGTATTCGTAAATCACCCGCTAATTTCCCGCCACGACGCAATACTACCCACTTGATAAAACGGCGATTAATAACGTTGTTAATCAAGCAACCAAAGAGGCTATCTCTTCATTGAATATTTGCCCCCGCGGAGGCGGACGGCTGATCAGTATTCGGGCCAGGGGCTGTTAGTTTGGTTAGGGCGCTCGCCAGAGTCTCAGAGGCGATTCCCTAAACAGGTTACCTAACCGCATTTATATCTTCAGAGGAACACGAATATTAGCATAATTAGTACGACGCGTACGCTCCTTAAATATAAATGGGGCCGTTGTCTAATCAATTGTATAAGCAACTCTTGACTGCGAGACGCTCGTTCGCTTACCCCTCCAAATTCGCGGCTGTTAGGGATCACACTCATTAGAATAAGGTCTTCTTTGTACGCAGGGAACAAATTGTTTGCGCGTAATTAATGGTAACAACCGTTCTAAGGGAAGTTGCTAACGAATCACTTTAGACAGAAGACTGCGCAGGTGACTTTTAAAATGATGCTCAGTATATAATAAATGATACTTGTATTTTCTTATTTACCCCTTAACCTTATCTTGAAATAGAAGATGTAAAGTATAATTTTCAATAATGAATAAGTTCCAGAATATTTTTGCTGGTTAATATTACCAATTGGCTGTTTTGACAAGCTATTGATGTGTACATTTTTAGTAGCACGGCGATCGTAGAGCGGTAGGCGGCGCGGCGGTGTCGTTTTAAAGAACCGATATGATGGCTCGAATCCCGGATCGGGTTTGGCACCTCGGCGAGTGTCGTAATCACAATAAATATCTTTATAAAATTTCTAATCGAAGTGCGCATTCACCGGCTACGATCGCATGCGATGTCATTCAAAAGTGTTTTATCCACTAGGCCAAGCACAGCACCATCAAGCCATACGCTTTTGTTCTATATCACCTCCACGTTGAGGGAATAAGTCCGTCAATGTGTAGCTTGATGTGCTGCCGTCTGTAATTGGTCAGACAGTTTTAATTTAATTTAACCGAATTTAATCGAATGGCTTGCACACCGGTTTTCATGGTATCGCCATCTCTGAGGTCCCGGGCTCGATCCCCGACTGGCTAAATGTAGAAAAAAAATAACTTTTCTATATTGTCTCGGATCTAGGTGTTTGTGGTACCGTCGTTGTTTACAATTTCCACAACACAAGCGCTTTAGCTACTTACTTTGGGATCAGAACAACGTATGTGATGTTGTCTAGTATTTGTCTTATTTATGTCCTCCGCTGGGCGTGGCACGGACTGCAGACATTGTGTACAACGGATTTATTCTCGATTACAAAACCTAAACCAGTGACAATAAGGCATGAAAAGTATTAGATACTTATGTCAAGACAGGTTTCTAGAATACAAATTACAGATATGATTACATTATTATTTCAATCTATGATATTAGTGTTTGGATATTAATCTATAAGCTATATGTAATATAATAAATAAATAAATAAAAGTAAATAGAAATTATGGGTGTAGTTTCTAAAACTAGCGTTCTAGAAACTACACCCAACTGATATAGTATATTTCATACAATAATAATCGTTTTACTTTGATAGTGGCGTAGGCGCGTGTCTAACCCGACCGCATCATTGACATTCTAACCGCATTTGTTTAAGCTGCTGTTGATCAAACAAGCTCTAGTAATTGTGGACAAATACACGGTTGGATTATAATAATACTAATAATAGTCGAAGTTCAATTTTGAAGGAAAAGATCCACAAAGTTGTTTTATTATTAATGGATTCAGTCAATGCCCTTATTTACTTAAAGACAGATATTTAAACCTTTCGTTCAGATACAATACGAGCTAATATAAACTTAATTCTACGACACTAATAAAAAAGGCCATGAAAATACAAAAAGGAAGAGTCAAAACTATTTTATTTCTAATTCGATACGCTTAGAACACCGCTTTTCTATTTTCCTTATTCCTTTTTTTTTAAATTGACCTCGGAGCTATGCTCCAGGCCAGTCATAATTGGCAGGGTTCATATATGCTTAGATATAGATTTGCTTGTTTAATTTTGGGAATAAGTGAATTTGGGATTAAACCTACACAACAGGGTTCACTAACCATCTGTCCTTTTCGCATATAACCAATAAAAGGATTCCTTTAGTATCCCAGAAGAAAGTTTCCTTGACTCGAATTGTCTTCACTGGCAGAGAAGATTATCGTTTCTACGTGAGGCGTACTATAAGTTTCCGGAATGAATAAGAAAAAAATACTATAAATGGTCAGAAATGAATTTATTGTTTCTCAAAATATTCTCCGTTAGCGTTAATGCACTTTTTCATACGAATGAACCAATTTTGAAAACATTTATGCCACTCCTCCGTGACAATCTCTGAAACATATTTTTCTTACTCTTCGACAGCCTCTCCAGGTGATGAAAATCGTTGACCGTGTAACTGGTTCTTATTTTTTGGAAATAAATAAAAGTGACAAAGTGCCAGTTCGGTACTGTACGCGGGATCAAAAACTCATGTCTGTCTGCCGTGTGAGAACTGGCATTATCGTGGTGCAAGATGATACGGCGTTTACGGTTATTTTTACGAAGTTTGTCAATAACTTCCGGCAAACAAGTGGTCGTGTACCAACCACTATTCACGGTACAACGATTCTCCAAAGCAACAATAGCCACGAGTCCAGTTTTGCTAAAAAAAGAAACAATCATCCGCTTAGAGGCACTTTGCACGCTCGCCGCTTTGGTTGGTTTCGGCTCATCTCGAAAGACCCATACGCTCGATTGCTGCTTTGTTTTGGGATCGTAACTATAAATCCATGTTCGTCACCTATTACTATGTCCCACACCAAATTTGAATCTGGTAAGCATGGCATTGCACCAAGTGACGCGATACGTTTTTTGAGCCTCAGTCAAATTGTGGGGTATCCACCGAGAGCACAGCTTTTTCACACTCAAATGTTTGTGTAGTATTGATTGTATTTGACTCATGCCTGTGCCTAAAAATTGCCGGAATCTCATGGTGACATACCATGCCTGTCTGTTTTGGTCTGTTTTGATCATACGGCGCACAGCATCGATGTTTTTGTTGTTCACAGCAGTGGACGGGCGACCATCACGAAATTCGTCACTGAGATTCACAC